ATAGCTTTACCGACAACGGTCTTTACCTCACTTAGTCGCTGCAAGAGATCCAAAACGTACTGTACGACGGTTGGGTCTTCGCTCTGGTCTTCTAGTGATTCGCGTAGGAGTCGCAGAGGAGACCGCAGCGTTCGTCCGTACACAAGCTCCGCAGGACTGAAGCCAGTGGACTCGTGAGGAGCCGAACGGAGCGCGAACATAGTAGCCGGAATACATGCTTCCCAGTCCCTTTGGTGCTCAAAACACAAAGCTCTCAACACTCTCTTCAGCACCCCGTGCATCCTTTCTACACTGTTAGATTGTGGATGGCAAATTGAGCTGTGAATCAATTTGATTCCGCACTTTTCCAAAAACGTCGTAGTTAGAGCGCTTCTGAAGACGCTTCCATTATCGCACTGAATCTCGAGGGGATATCCGACGCGGGAAAAAATGGAAAGGAGCGCGTCGACTACGCTCGTGGAGTTCAACTCCTTGAGAGGGATGGCCTCGGGGAACTTCGTAGCCGGGCATACCGCTGTCAAGATGTAGCGATATCCCGACTGCGTGGCGGGAAGCGGGCCGACGACGTCGATTACTAGCCTCCGAAACGGCTCTGTGATGATGGGGACCAAGCGCATCGGAGCCTTGTGCTTGTCGGATGACTTCCCTACGCGCTGGCAGACATCACACGATCGCACGAACTCTTCAACATCCTTCCAGCATCCGGGCCAGTAGTATTCTTGCATCAGCCTTGCCTTGGTCTTTCGAATTCCCAAATGCCCTGACCAACAGTTCCCGTGAGCCAGCCAGAGAAGATCCTTTCTATATCTAAGCGGAATGACCAACTGGTCAAAGTCCCGGCCCTTCCTGTCTCGGTATGTTCGGCATAGTAGACCTGACCTTGTGTAAATGAAATATTCTTGCGTGCCACCCCTTCCTTGTAACCGTCCGGCAATGCCTTAAGCGTGGCATCACTTTTTTGCTCTGCGATCAGTGTAGGTCGATCGAGGGCGCAGAGCGTGTCCAGACTTGGAGATAATGGCGAAAGAAAACCCTGCCCTTTTTCTTGGTCCTCTAGAATCTGCTGCTGGTCTGGTGGGGCACTCCTCGCGGCATCCTCCGACCGCAAGCCCTCTTGATTTGCCGCGTCTGCAGGTCCTCCGTTGACCGGCTCTTCGCGCGCCGCGGACCGACCCTCCTCCCCGTTAGGTTCGTATCTTAACCTCGATGAGAGCTTTCTCGCTTGGGACCGCGTCAGTGCCATTACTGTCTCCTCCGCGAAACTCTTTACTTGCTCGCGAAGCAGCAGCGCGGACTTGTTTGAGAACAAGTACGGATAGTGTTGAGGCCAGTTCTTCGAAACTGCCGCCTCAGTGATGAGTTTGCCAAAAGGCCCCTCGATACAGATTTTCGCAATGGGAAGGCAGACGCTGTGTTCCTCTACGACTTGCCTTATCCAGGCACACTCGCCGGTGTAGTCACCCGACTCGACGTAAGACGGGTGCACTACATTCATTGTAGCTGCCGAGTCGCGAAGCACCATGCAAGCTTTGCCGTTCACTAGCATTTCTTTCGTGTACGGGGCCAGTAAAGCGCTGTTGTCGGCGCCCTCTGCAACCTACGAGAACACAACCTTCTCGGGGCAGTTGGCCACGATGTGCCCTTGCTTCTGACACCTGAAACACCGAACTGGCCTCTTCGCTTCGAAGGCTCGCGCGTTATTTCCAGGCATTTCCTCCTTTACTTTACCGACTGCTCCCCCTTCCTTCTGCGACTCTTTAACATCTGGAACATTTCTCATGTTTCCCCTCCTAAGAAATCCTTTTCCCGAGTCCGCCTTTAACGACTGAAACTCTTTTTGGCCATCTCGCCATGAGCGCGTTTGTCCCGATTTGTCTTTGTCTAGACCCCTGCGCATAGAGTACTCCTCCGCGAGATCTGCCACCTTCTGGAGGTTCATCTCTGGGTCCCTATCTTGGACCCAGAACCTGACATTCTCCGGAATACCTCGTAACAACTGCTCTACCGCAAGGCACTCGATCACCTTATCGTGATCCCCGTACACTTCTGAGCTCTTCAACCATTCTACCAGGTTAGCCTTTAGGGTGTACGCAAAATCGGGAAAGGACTCCGTTCCCTTCTTAGTCGCCGTGCGGAACCGCTGTCGGAACACCTCTGTCGAAAGACGGTACTTCTTAAGAAGTGCGGCCTTCGAGCTTTCGTAGCTCTCGGCCTCCTCTCCGCTTAACCTTGCAACCGCGTCGGCCGCCTCACAGGGCAACAGCGTCAACAAATACTGAGGCCAGTCTTCGCGTGCGAAACCTACTCGCTCGCAGCTTCTCCCGAAGTTGACCAGGAAAAGACCAATGTCTTCTCCTAGTTTGTACGGCTGCATTAAGTCCTTAATCTTGACTCTCTCCGCTAGCCGCACACCCGATCCAGGACTTGAACGCTCAGCCTCAATTTTCGCTATCTCCAGCCTTTTGAGTTCTAATTCATGAGCCCGCTTCTCGCATTCTCGCTCGCGTTCGCGTTCCTCCTTCGCTTTTTCGTCCCGCTCCTGCTTTTCAGCCTTCGCTCTTTCGTCCCGCTCCCGAATCAGCTCCCAAGCCTCCTGAAGCTCTACGTCGGACACTTCCTTTTCGCGAAGTAGCTTCATGATCGGCTTTCTTCGCCTTGCCTGCCCCACGCTTATGCCAAGCTCCTCGCATACCGCCACCAACTCAGGAATGCGTAGCTTACTGACTTCCATGATCCCGAGTGTCGCAATCTCCCGCCCCTATCTAACTCAGTCAGCTTGAACTTCGCTTTTTCTGAGCCGAAAGGGCAGCCTTCCACTCGCGTACCTAACACTGAGCAAAAGGTCTGGCATATCAAGGGAAAATTGCAAAGCACTCACCCGTACCAGGAACCATGAGTGGGCACGTCATCCCACCGCTGCCACCAGTTGTTGTGACCGAGGGGTTTCCGAGGCAGCCTCAGACAGGGCCAGGCGAAGACAGGGATCGCAAACTGACTCCAGGCAGGAACATCAGCAGGTGACGGGAGGGTCTCTCACGATTAACTCTCTTGAATTACATATATACAGAAGTTACTACATCGTCGGAGAGCACCGAATGGACAGCGAATAGGTCCTTATATAATAACATCGGTGTTCTGGAGCTGCCGTGCCATTGGTTCGTTCGTGCCGAATTCCAAAGTTGGCCACGACGTCAGCCTCCTCCTCTCGGCCCCTATGTTCGATCGTTGTTCTTCTCCGAATTGAGGGCGGCTAGGAGGGTCTCGCGTACGGTAGACTCAACAGACTGTTCATCTGTTCAGGGTCGGATCCTGTCTGGCGTTCTCGTAGAGTGCAGACGCCTCCGTGGAATGCAGACGCCGTAGACAGAACAAACCGACGGCAACGTTCTCGGGGAAGGCATACGCAAGGCAGGCGCCGTAGACAAAGCACACCGACGGGAACGTCGGTTCTGATGCCCTTGAGCGGAGACCCAAGAGAAACGCTTCTCCAGTTTTGGTCGAACGTGCGAAAAGGGTTCGGATCGCACGCCAACCGTCTCGACGTTCGCTTGGTCGTCGTCCGGACCGGATGCAAGGTCGATCGCAACACCACGCACTGCGAGCACTGCGTGACTTTCAGCACGTCGTCTTCATCGTCCTCTTGTGTACAAAATCAGTTGCGTGTCCGCGCTTGTGTGCTCTGCATGATCCTTCTCTATGTCGTTGTCTTTTTGTGAGCTATTCTGTTCACTATGTCACCCTCGTGACCACCACTTTATGGTGGTACGGTCAAAGCGCACACGGTTTTCTTGTTTGTTTCTTTCCTCATTCCTCATTTTTGAGAAAGATTCTATTCTAACAAGCCACTGCAACTCTTGTTATAAAAGAGGCGTCGTTCTCGAAAGTTTTGACATGGCTTTGAAGTAACTGTGGCGCCCTCATTTCGGGTAGTACAAGCTCACCTGAATGGGCCTCGCACTACTTATGGCACCCTTGTCAAATTTCATCTCTTTGTGTAGAGCTGAAGAACGAAAAAAAGGCCTTTCGCCGTCCGAAATTGGCTAGACTCAATGCCTCAAGAGAATCGAAAGTACCAGATTCATGGCACCTTCGCTAGGGTACGTGCTCCGCACCAGAGCAGGTAAGCTTCTACATGTGTGGCACTAACAGGCACCTTTTTGCAGCGCCGCCTAGGCAAAGCAGGATGGCTATATGCCGGGTCGTTAAAGAAAATTACGCGCGACTTCTTGACTATTTTAAATGAACTATGCGAACCGGAAAGCTTGAACTGCGTGTGAATTTTACATTAACGGAGGCGATAGGGCGTAAAAGTGTCGGAACATGACGTTACCTGGTCAAAAGATAAAATAAAAAGCAAAATGTCTCCGTGAGGCAACGTGCACCATAGGGGTTATTCACTAGACGCTATATTTGAGGGCGATATTTAGAGCGCATGCTCAGAACGAGCTCACATTACTACCCAGGCAGCACACCATTGATGGACCCCTGTCGGCCCAATGTTGGCAAAAAATGGTTGCAATATTGGTTTGACGTTGGCATTTTCGAAAACGCCACTTGATCCAATGGTGTTACAACAATGGTGCCAATGTTGGACCACTGGTTTGCCAACGTTCTAGCCCCCGTTGGACCAACGTGGTTTGCGCTTTTTGTATCCAATATTGGCATAGAGGTTTCACCGTTGGCTGAATTAACATTGGCATCCAGCGCCTTACACACTGGCTCTTCCAACATTGGCTTAAATATTGGCTATTTAAATATTGGCATCCAGTCTAATACACAGGCTAATTTTGCGTCCATTGTCTATGCCATTATTGGATGCCATTTTTCAGCCCGTGTTCTAACCAGCGTCATAAAAACAGTGTAGAGAACCAAGCAATTCCCTTGCCCTTTTTCCTCAAGCACTGTTTTCTTTCTTACACTAAAATCTAATAAATGCAGCAATTTTACCATATTTGGACACTTTAGAAATCATTAAACATGCAAATGAATTGTTCATGACGTTTGAAAGTTCATAATTTATTTAAATCGAATAAAAATATTTAAAACATTGTGCAACCAGGAAAGCCTGGGCACACTCGGCGGCAGGGTCGGCGGCAGGCTCGTTAGTGGACAAACCAGAGGGCTGGGCGAAGGGCTGGGCAAAGGGATTCCACGCAGGGGCCTGGCCACAGGATTCTGAAAGAGACACAAGTGGGGGTTTGGATTCGGGTGAAGGGTTTCAGAGGCTCTCAGTTCTCTCTTACGCTTGTCAATAATGAATATCAAAATAAAACATAGCTTCATTATTAATCGCCGCCCTTTAATCAACTATTTGATTAATCGGCTCAGTTGCTCTTCACGTATAAAATTTCGGAAAGGCCTACCGACTTTTTTATGTTTACTTTTCCATATTATAAAGTTTCTTTTCCAGTAAATTATGTTTCGTTTTTTTTTTTTGTATGTAAAAGACTTAGTACAGCCTTCTAAAATAAATAAATCCGCAGGTAAGACACCTGAGCCGGCTTGCTGTAATCAGCGTCTCAGCTGAGACTGGGTGAAACAAAGCACTGTAAAGGCTGGGACGCGCGAGCTTCTTGAGTCGATGTTTGAGTCCCGTTCAGCTCGTACGCTGGCTTTGACAGTGCTTTCTTTCGCCCAATCTCAGCTGAGACGCTGTTTCTAGCAAGACGGCAAAAGCGTTTACAATTGTTTTGTTCGTCCGACTTGTCCTTACTCAGAGCTCGATCGATCTAGATTAAAATATATATAGTGATTTTAAAAATTAATCATATAGTAGGAAGGTTATTTCATAAATTGCTTACCTCTACTGTTGCAACATCATGGCGTCCCTCAACCTTTCATCTAGCTTTAGTAAGTCTTAAGAATTACAATCTCGCCATTTAAGTTCACACTGATGTTTCTACGTTTACTTGAAAAAAATTTTTTTTTTTAAAGATTTGCGGTTTTTGCGGCACGGAAATATGTAGTTAGAAATGTACCCAGATTGCCTCCATAATATTTACAATTTATAAATCCAACCGCTGTCCTCCCTCTTCAGCTCACCAGTGTCAAACACACTACTAAATTAACAGTTCAATAAATACCCCGTTATACGTAAGAACATGACAGTTCAACAGAACTCGAGGCTTGCATCAATCAAGAATGTAAAGTAAATCACGCACATAAAATAGCTTATCGTGTAAAGACGATTACTGGCAATTACACTCGCAGAGCGCGGTGACATAACTGACACTCCAATCGCACCCAACAAGCCGAACCTTGACAAAAAGAGACTATTCAACGCTCTGTGGTATTCGGCTTTGGACGCCGTATTGGAGCGCAGCTCTTGAGGAGGAGTAGGGAAGGGTACTGAGGGGGGGTCACGGGATCTCGGGGCGAGGGGGGTCACGTGACCTCGAGGGGAGGGGTTCACGTGACCCCTCTCAGGGTCACGTGACCTCGGAGTGGTCACGTGACCTTGGGGGGTCACGTGACCTCGATGGGGGTCACGTGACTTTGGGTGTCACGTGACCTTGTGGGCCACGTAACCCTAGGGGAGGGGTCACGTGACCTCTGGGGGGTCACGTGACCTTGGGGTGACCTTGGGAGTCACGTGACATTGGTGTGACCTTGGGGGTCACGTGACCTTGTGGTGATCTTGGGGATCACGTGACCTTGGGATGACCTGGGGGGTCACGTGACCTTGGGGTGACCTTGGTTACGCCGACGCCGACGGCGACGGCGACGCCGCTCAAGCCGGGAACGGGCCCCTAAGAGCTGCGCTCTAAAATGGCTTCGAACACAGAAATAACCAATCAGAACGTCTCTCACGGTCTGTTGAAATGAAAAGCACTTACAAATAGCGCTGTAAACGGCCTTACGGGCCGATCGCTGTGGATTACACGTTAAACCCGTCGCAGATTCCTGGCACAGAGTTCGACACGGTTCAAACTCATCGGATAGTGACAAAACGTACATTGCGTAGCAAGAATACGTATCCCCAATGGTCAGGAGGACCTCTCCTTGTCCCTCGTATGGAAGAGAAGGCGGTCCGTGGTGCCTTCGGTCCGTCGAAGCTAGTGGTCACATGTATTCCCACAACAGAGGAAGATTACTGGTGCGTAGGCGCTGCCGAAAGGATATCCATGTTCTTGGCGATCCGCATGTTGAAGATTGCACTTGGCCTTAATACGAAAGGCGCTGCTGGTGATCGGAACTCTAGAACCACCGTTCTTGCCGGTCCCAGTATAGGGTAGCGTGGATCCCGGAGATGCAAAACCGCTTCGCCCAATAAAAACAGTCTGCTAAGCAATCAAACGCGCTCAGACAAGTTAAAAACGGACACCTCGGTGTCCTGATATCCGCATGATTATCTTGCCATTCTTGTTCGTAGGAGAAAATAGCTATTTCTGCCACAAAAAAAGAAACATGCATAAATTGCGAAGCGTATCTGCCCACTTGCAGTTTGCGGATGCGCGTGTTGGAAATTGAGGAGACCGCCCCCACCCCCACCGTCTTCCAGTCGCTAACTTATCGTGTGGCCTTGGTGCACGCGACCCCACTTTTTGTGTGCGTGGGTGTGCGTGTGTGCGTGTTTCGCGGGCTAGACTCCATCGCCCCTAAGGTGAGAGTGTAGAGGAAGCTAAGAAGCTCGGTGAACCAATCGCAGGTCTATCTTTCATCACGTTATCATGCCCTAGCCCGTAATCACGCGCAGAGAGCGGTGCAGTTGATGACTGGTCCGGCCGGCGCGTAGCTCCACCTGAACTGTCAGCTTAATAATGCACAGTGTCCTCCTCCCTCAAAGACACCAAATCTTCTTCGCTCACAAAGGAGAGATTTGGAGAGATTAGTGACGGCGTCGGGAAAACGGAAGGGGAACTGTTCTCCCAATACCCTTTCTCGCCCTTTCTGAAGCCGTTCCGAGGCCGTCGGCGCGACCCTCCCTTGCTCACTTCTCTCTCTCGAATTTTTTCGTTTGTCTCTGCTGGTATTTGCTATCCGGGTTTCCAAGAAACAATGCAATAGAGATTGCTTAGACATAATAACTCTACACCAAGAGGACGAAAAAGGACTGACAGACACGAAGCTCCGAATCAGCTCGGGGCCTAATGTCAAAATTAAAAAGAGACAATGATAAATCAAATGCGGAAAAAAGGGGCTAAGTCTAAATCAAGACCAACATTGTCGTCTGCTATCAGTGTCTTCTGGCACCAGTAGTGCCTTAAAGTCATAGAGCCGTCATTGTATAACCACATCTCAGAATAGTGTCTTGTTCGAGTCAATAACAAAAAAGTTCTTCACCTCACACGAGGTGCAGTCCACGAGCGCGTAGTTAGGGCACGAAGCTTTTCTCTTAAGATCATAGAGTCAACATAATAATCTATTATGTTGGCTATATAACGCAAACATCGTGTTTTTTTCCCAGTTGGCAGTTTTGATAAGCCCATATCGTTGGCGACTCCTTAATATGCACGGTGAAGGAGCCAAACATCACCATTAAGGTCTCTACCTTGTTATTTTCTTGTTTACTGTTCTGAAAAGCACCTGAATCGCGCTTTGACAAAATAACATAAAATTGACAAGCGCTCGAGCAATTTCAACTTGTTGAGGTAAAATGAACACGCCTAAACCAGCCTATTCCAACATGCCTCAACTATTAAGCCAATGGTATTGTCAGACTAACACACACTGACCATTATATGTCACCGTGTTCTTGAAATGACGATGAGCCAATGGTACTAAAAAAACAGTAACTATTATAAGCTCGTGTTTATCCAACATTGGCAAGCCAATGCTACAGACAAGCCAACAGTGTCCATTTTATGCCAGTCCCCATCAAATATTGGTATGTCAATGGCACGGTCAGGCTAACGTCGACCATTTTATTCCAGTGTGCATCTAATGTTAGTGAGCCAAGGGTACTCAAAGGTCAACATTGTCCGGTCTACGCCAGTATTCATCCAATATTCGCAAGCCAATGGAACTAACAGGCCAAGATTGCCCATTTTATACCAGTGTTCATCCAATATTCGCAAGCCAATGGAACTGACAGGCCAACATTGTCCGGTTTACTCCAGTATTCATCCAATATTCGCAAGCCATTGGAGTTGACAGGCCAAGATTGCCCATTTTATTCCAGTGTTCATTCAATATTCGCAAGCCACTGGAACTGACAGGCGAACAATGTCCAGTTTACGCCAGTATTCATCCAATATTCGCCAGCCAATGAAGTTGAAAGGCCAAGATTACCCATTTTATGCCAGTGTTCATCTAATATTCGCAAGCCAATGGAACTGACAGGCCAACATTGTCCGGTTTACGCCAGTATTCAACTAATATTCGCAAGCCAATGGAGTTGACAGGCCAAGATTGTCCATTTTATGCCAATGTGCTTCCAATATTGGTTGATCATTCGAGAAACTGGGCCACCGCTGAAGATTCTATATAATGGCTTAGACAATAGTGGGAGCAGATTGGCTAAAGTGGACCATCATTGAACCTTTTGTTTTTCAATGTTCTTCCAATAATGGCCCAACGCCTTGTCCTGTGTGGGAAGTGTCCAGCTCAAAAGTGATTCTAAACGGAGCAAGTTTGAAGACACTATGTTTTACGTCGTACAACCCACATTATTATTTAGAATGAAGAACTTGGCGCGACTATTTTTTGCGCACAATGTGCACAAATAAATAAATAAATATACATAACTATGTATATATCTAGTTTGTATCAATATATTTAAAATTATTTGTACATTTTCAGGTTCGCGTTTTTAAACTTCAAAAATTTTCTCGACCGAGTTACACGCAAAAGACACCACGGACAGCACATCGTCCGACTTTCAACACACTATGAATCGCCGACGCTTGCAGACAGAAGGTTGCGATGCTGCGCGAACGGTTTCTGAAAGATGCTCCGTGGGGTATACGCCGGGCGCAACGGCTTCGCGGCCGTTCGAAGGGCAAAGGATTCGCGACGACAAAGTAGCGTCTTGTAACTTTAGTAAGCTAACGGGGCTCGAGAGTCCCACGCTCACATTTCCGCAGAACGAGCGCGGCCGGCCAGATCGAGGCGCAGTATGCTCTCGCGTCACGATTGCTACGTCGTTGCTATGCCTACACTGATGAGATGTGCACTGGCAGTTGAAGCAGCCCTCTCGAGACTTCATTCGAGTCCAATAGACGACTTTATAGCGCCATAGACTCTCGTAAAACTGAAAGAAGTCATTTCGGTTGCGGCGTAAGCGGCGGCTTTATGTTTGTTGACACCTGTGTCGACCATGACGAAATATGCACAGAAACATTAAATATAAAAAATGCACCACGCAGAAAGACTTACAAACATGGCAGGGGCACGGAAAAAGTAGAAGGCGTTAACGCTACGTAATGCATATACATACAAACTACACTGGAAATGACAAAAATAATTAAACCTAAAAACGGAATTAAGTTGTCAACGCCGAGGCAAGGCAATGCGAAGGGAGAGCAGCCGGCAAAAAAACCTGCAATAGTCATATAGACAGGTAAGGATGTATTTGTGATCGCGGTTAGAAAGCACCGGCGACGTACGCCACATGAAGTTGGCTAAATAAAATTCTCGCCCCCAGCGAGCGCATGAATGACTCTTTTCCACTTTCCTACCTCTGCAATGCAAAATGAGGGTCGCGGGTCTATATCCTAGCCGACACAAATATCGATAAGCCATTGGCTATGGCAGTACAATATTGACCAGCCTATACCAAGACATCACCAATATTGGAAAACTCTTGGCTTTGACAGTTTAACATTAACCAGCTTAGGCCAGCGTATATTCAGTATTGAAAAGCCATTGGCTCTGACAGTCCAATATTGTACAGGTTATTCCGGCGTAAATCCAATATCGGAAAGCTATTGGCTTTGACAGTCCAATATTGGACAGCTTATGCTGGCGTATAGCCAATATCAGAAAGCCAGTGGCTTCGACAGTCCAATATTGGACAACTTATGCCGGCGTATATCCAATATTTGAAAGCTATTGGCTTCGACAGGCCAATGTTGACCAGCCTATGCCAACGTATCAGCAATATTGGAAAAACCATTGGCTTTGATAGTCCATTATTGTCCAATGTGGTTCCAATATTGGGAAACTAATGGCTCAGTTGGGCCATTGTTGGGCCATTATTTGCCACATCAAGTCCAATGTTGGCCCAATACTGTGGGCTGCCTGGGTCGCGCTCAAAGTCGAATATGCAAAATCAAAGCACATCTTCCGTGTATTGGCGCATCTGCGTGACATTCGCACTGTTTACTAGGAAGCGATGGCGCCTAGGCCAGAACGGGGCAGCAAAGTTCGTGTTTGAAAAGGAAGTATCACTGAACTTTTCCTCTAGAAGTGTTATTCTGCGGCAACAAATGTTGCCCATCATTTGTAGATAATGGATAATTAAAAATACAAAAAACACTAGATGGCTTGCCCTCTGCTACCAGAAAGAACAAAAGAGATGCAAGGGGAAGCGAAACCATGCTTCGGAAAACAAGTTTTTTACCCTGTACAGTTCGACTTTGAGTGCCACTTGATAGCATTTTCTTTACGATAACATTTGATTCTTGCATTACTTTACTGTCATTCATGCAACGCCTTTCCGACTGGTGCGTTCATCGCGTCGTAAAAACTGGTCCCTCAATATTTGGCTGACGAAGGCCTGAGGAAAATCATGTTGTCACCGTCCGCCATCCTAGTGTTGTCACAGCACTAGTGATGGATGTGTCAGAAGCCCGCCCCGCTGTAGGTGTCGCTATACCTTCAGAGGCAACGGAAGCTTCAACAGTCAGGTGTTGCGACTCCGTGACCACAGCGACACTCGCGTTTGCTCGTATTTTGTCCCGGAACATCTAGACCCAACCGCAAGGATCGCCAAATCTGACATCAGTACAGGTAGGCTTCGGGGACATCGCTTGTTGCAGCAGTTGGGCCGCTTGTAAAGTATAGGCGGGATAGAGCGGTGAGCACATCAGCCTAAAACGAGTTCCAGGCGTCAAATGAATGCTGAAATCAGTAATGAAATATATCTCTCAACGTTCGTAGATGGGAGAAAATATGGCCAAGGATTTCTGCTATCGGGAATCACGCGTTTGTGATTTGAACGGATCACTATATTTTTTATTTCAAACGGCGGATACATGAGAACGGCCAGAAAGCGGTCATCGGAAAATCATGTACGTCTCAAGAGATCCGACGACTCCAGCGCAACAAAGCGTGAATTTCAGTCAGTTGTTTCGACATATTAAAGTGAAAGCATAGCGCAGGAGAAAGAAGACAAGAAGAGGTACATATTTAAGCTCACTTGGGTATAACAGGCGGACGGTAGGTTCTCCATCCTCCCGACGCACATGCACTTCGAAACACCGCGAAGTCTGAAAGTAGACGTTCGTTACACTCCCTAGGCGTGGTGCTTGCAAGTGCACGTGCTACTAGGTGCTGGGAGGATGAAAAAAAAACAGGACCCATGTGTTATATAGAAGTGTGATTAAAGGTGTACACAGACACAGCTGTTACACTTTTAAAAAGAGGGGGTGTAGTACTTACTCCCCTTACAAACTTTTTTACTCAATTTCATTTGAAAGTTTATGGAGTCTACTCATTATATCTTTTCGAGTCTCAATAGAAATGCAAATGAGTTTTCTAACGAATCCGTAAGGAGTTTACGAAAACTATCGGCCACCGCGTTCCAATGAAAGTTTCGACGTGCTACCGCATAAAGTTTCTAATGTATTTCATATGAATATATTTTTAAAGTCTATTGACACCGCTTCGAGTCTGTGTTGAAAAACAATTGATTTTTTGTAACGAGTCCCTAAGGAGTATACAAAAACTATTGGCCACCACGTTTCAATTAAGGTTTTGCCGTGCCACCTCATAAGAATTTCTAATACATTTCATTTGAAAGTCTAGATACACTGCTTTGAGTCTCTGTTGAAAATCAAATGTTTTTTTCTACCGCGTTATACTTGAGGCTTTGACGTGCCATCTCATTCGGTATATTCCGACGAGTCGGAACATATCTAATGCGATGGCCCATCAACACCTGAATTGCAACGCAGTAGGTAAAAAACATTTGATTTTCAACAGAGACTCAAAGCAGTGTATCTAGACTTTCAAATGAAATGTATTAGAAATTATACTCCTAGTAAGGAAAGACGGCAATAGGTTGCATGACATGTGGTCCGGTTGTAACCGCTGTTTTGAGGGAAGGGGAAAGTGAGTGCAAGTGTCACTTATATGTATGCCTATATACGCATGCAGGGTTCAGAAAATGCTTGCATAAAACTGCGAGAAGGAGTAATAACTGGTTAATTAAAAATGCCAAATTCGAGTATACGGTACACTGCCTTCGTATCCATGGGGGATCTTGTACTGCCTTCGTGTCCATGGGAGACCTTGTACTGCCTTTGTGTCCATGGGAGACCTTGTACTGGTAACCTATAAAGAAAAAAGATACACACCCTTACAAAAATGAACAATGAGTTTCAATTGAGCTTCCAATATGTTTTTATAGAGTCAAATGAAACTCATAAGAAACTCATCATTAAATGAGTTTTATCATTACCCACTCCATATCTATTCTTTTCAATTTACTCATTACAAATTCAAGTGAGGTTTATCGTTACCCAATCAATAGCAATTCTTATGAGTTTACTCATTACACATTGAAATGAGTGTTATAAAAAAAAAATCAATAAATCTACTCCCTACTGCATTGCACCCGAAACAAATAGCGCGTCCGTGCTAGTTCTGATATACAGATTTATTTCCTGTGCTTAAAATAATAACTGTATTCACCCTCTTTTACTCCTAAAGGCTTATTCACACGATGTATCTCTTCAACGCGCCAGTCTAGCGAAAGCAAGATTTTGCGAAATCGGCCTGTTTACACGTGCAGTTTGACGCGCGAAACCTGTGACGTAATGACTCACGAGAATTTCGCCAAACCTTGTCATCTGCCCCGGGGATACCAAGCGTTTCGCATCAAAATGATATGAAGTACGCACAGTGTGAAGAGACAGCCTGTTTTATTAATGCCACTCAATGAATTTCGTCAGATTCGGCTCACTGGGTTTACTAGTCCTGTCAAACCCGCGAAAAACCGCGAGATGATCTCGAAGCATTTCGGATATTTTTACACCGCTGATAAAGAACGTTATCCCCAGTCATCATGTTTATATACGGTGCTTGCACCCGCCGCGACTGTTGACGAATCTGCACCGCGTCCCCAATCCGTACTGTAGGCGCCGTTCACACACCTGCAACCGAGTAGGACCAAGACTTTGTCGCCCGTACGCACCGCTTTTCCGCTTGTCGCTCGCCATGTTTGTTTGTTTTCTTTCGGCTTCGGCTCGGATAAGGGATCGGCCGAAAATCAGACTCCTCCAAAAGCTCGCTCCTCCTCGAAGCTCAGACGTCATAGCGAAGTCGAGCGGCCATTGGCAGCGTCCGCGTTTCTCCTTCGGTGATTGACGGACGTCGGTGAGGTTTCAGCGAAAAATTGCTGCAGAAGCGAGAAACACGCGCCACTTTTTTGGGGGGCGCGCCACATTTTCGGTCGAGTTCAGACGGGGAATCTGTTTCCCGAAACCTAGTTTTGCGACACAAGATTCGCCAACACGATGCATCATGTGAACGGACCTATTTACGGCGCCCCTCTACCGCGATTTGGTCAGTTTCGGTTTCAGTATTGTAACTTTTACTGGTTTCGGTTTCATATTTTAAGGATCGCGTCTTCGACGCCCCATCGGTAGCAACACCAGTTCACTGTTTTTTTTTCTATTTCCGCCATGGTTTCGTCAGTTTTGTGACCGTTGGGTGTGTCGCGGTATGGAAATGCATTTAGACATGGAAATGTGCTAATTTAATCAAGTTTATCTATCTGTGAAGTTTTCTCTTGTGATGATTATGTTCAAGAAGAGCGCGGAAGACCGACGACGCGACAGAACGAGCAACTCAACGCAGTTGGTAAGCATACTTCTTCGTTTGCATTGTACGCGTTGAACGAGAAGTGAACATTAGGCAGTCTTAGAGTAATCTCGTGGCTGCTGTGCATGCGCAGACCCAAAACAAGCTTCGGACTCGAGCTTTGGGGCCCGTTATTTCTCGATAATTAGCGTGGGTACCGCAAAAGGCGGCGCCCACGACATCTCCGTTGATCGCGTCTTCGATGCCGTCGCCCGCTCGGGAACTGCGTGAGTCGCACTCGGCGCCTGCGGTCGAAATGGTTGAAGCGTTTTCAAAACGCCACGGATCGCTGGATTCACAGCTCAGACCTATCGAAGCGCAACGCTATCGAGGCGCGTGTACTTGCGATCGTGGCAGACATGTAAGCATGCCTGGGTAGTGGATCGTCTGGGCTTCATAAGTACAACCAAAGTCCTTCAATGCTCTGGTACAACAGAGCAGCTTGGCAGTGACAAAAACAAAACATGCGGCATTGAGTATAAAACAACTATAAAGATGTTACTCTGGACAAAAAGCTTGTTTAATTTTCAAGATTAAACGTTCTAACTTCCAAATAAAAGCTGTGGAGACATCTTGGTGGCGTTTTAAGCCCGAGATGCTTGCGTTTTGGGGGGTCCCCGGCAGAGAAACGCTATTCTAAAACTCTTCGCCGCAATCCTTGCTATTTTGCCGACCGTAACGCGCGGTAAAGTAGCGCCCGATATTCTAAAACTCCCTATTTTCTCGGCACACGTTTTCTCGTTAAGCTAGAATTTGTTTTTTTCTTTTTTTAACTAGTTGGGTTTGCTCTATTCGTCCTAATGTTTGGATCTATGTCTAGCGTTATGAAAAGTTGCCACTCATTCTGTGTATGGTCCAAGAAATTGTAGTTAATGTCAACAGAGTACGTATTGAATTCCTAATGCTACTTTCAGTTTGTTGCTTTAGAAAATGTCTTATTGGTCTAGCAGTGTACTGATGTCGTTCAACTATAGATTGATTACATTGATAATACTTCATTACATTTCAGAAGTTAGACTTCCTTGGAATTCGCTTCATGCAGAGCCAATATTCCTTTTCAGTCAAAATGGTTGAAGAGGATATCCATCTTTTGTTTTGAAGTTATGGAAGTGGACTGGATTGTACTGTTAGGACAAACTTCGGTGCCCTGGCTTTCTAGAATTTAACTGGGTTTACATTTGTCGGTTAGATTAATAAAGCAGTTGTTCCCTTCGCCTTTTTTTTCTCATTCATTTTGCAATTGTGATGTGATAAAGCCGAGGGCCGCAGGTGTTCCCAAATGAAGCAGCAGCAGTGTGTTCCCAGCTTCCGTCACTTCGATTCATTTCAAGGCATGCCACGAAATGAATGCCTTTATCCATGCACAGTTGGAATTGGGACTGACTTCAAAATGCAGTTTGACACAGCGTTTAAGTGGTATGGGACGCGTGTTGAATGACCCATGCGGTTGTCACAGGTTCGTGGTTGGTCAACCCGAAACGCTCCAAGTCCCACTTCCTTCTTGTCTTCCTCTTCCCATTGGTTTGAAGCTCGGCCGGCATTATACTCTGTTTCATACTTAGCGTGCCACGCTGTCAAAGCTACTGGCGCGAGTGCTTGGCTTCATCTACGGTTTTGCTTGCGCGAGAAGGCGTGCAACTGATCAACGAGATCAAGCCCCACGCTCGCGCCAGTAGCTTTGACACCGTTGCACCCTAAGTATGAAAGGGAGTATAGACTCATCCGAGCTCATGCCTTTGGCGCTCAGGTAAACATGTGCGAGAATCGCAATTGACCCTCCCCCAAACACCCTTAAACAGAACAAGACGACAAAAAAGACAAAATTTGTGACAGCGGTGTTCGAGAGAAACTGCAGACGTTTAATTACTCTGCCTGAAGCTTTCCAAACATTTCAGTGTGGTTGCAGCTGTGAGGGTGAGGTGGATCCAATATGAAAACTGGACCCTGAAGCGACGCCTTCAGGATGCCGAAAATAATTATGGTAAGTAAGAAATTATCCCACTAGTATCCTTCCTAAATATTTGGGCCGGGTGTCGATTAAAAAATTTTAACCCAGTTAATTTGTCACAAATTTTCAGGCATAATATCTTGAAAAGAATGAAACTGCAGATGTTCAAAACTGGCTGAGGTAAAGCAGCCTTGCAGTGCACCAAGGTTTACACTGAACATACTTTTGTGCATTGTCCACGAGGTGTAGCTCTTGCATTGAAGTTTTATGAGTTAGTTTCTTCAATGTTTGAACTTTCAGCGTGCCAGCTCTGTAGTATGCAATTGTTTTTCTTTATAGCGCAAGCAATATCTTAATCCTGGCGGCAGGAAGTTTCGGCTAGCAGTTGACATGGTTGGACAACGGTGTGCATGCTGGCTTTCTCTGAAGCAGCCAATGAAGCGAAATAACAGCATGTGCGGATTGTCCATGCATTTAATTTTTTGTTTGTTGTTTGTTTCAGACTACATGTGCTCCCAGTACAAGGGGGTGGCCCTCCAGGCACTGACGGCCAGCATGTCGTCTCTGCTGTGCTGTCGAGGGAAATTTAAAGGGTAAATATTACGGCTGCAGTTTTTTATATTCTGTCCCTGCTACACTTCCTGCGAATTTCTGTGCATACTTGGTCTTTTTGTTTTCATGGTACTGTAAACTTTTGTTATAGTCCGTCGCAACTATAGAATAGCACAAGCCCCTCCCACAATTCCCTTTGCTCGCCATGATTGGCGGTGTCCTCTTGGCTCTCCCCCTCTCTAGTGTTTGCTTATTAAAAAGAGTGAAGGGCTTTGTGGGAGGGGCTTTGCTATTCTAGGGTGGCAACAGAGTATAGCATGACCTCATTTAATCTAATCATTTCGAAGAGTCCTAGCGGGCACCCATGCATTCTTATGGGAAGGACTCTGCGTCATATTTTGGACCGAGAAAATGACCCCACAAACGGGAAAGCGCGGGCCTTCTGCTACAAAATTAGCTGAACCAAACTTTGTTTTCAGAATCAGACCGGAAAGAGTCGACTCCTGTCTTATAAACGGCGAGTAACAGAAATCCTGTGCTAGTCTCGTTACGTTGGGAAGCTAATGCTATGACCCCCATCTTGATTTCTTTAATGCTTGTTATGGCTGTTTTCACATCTGGTATTTTCACTGTTCTTTGGCCAAAAGTGAGTGGCAGGTCACCATAGGTTTCCAGAAGAAAGCGGTCGCATATGCAGAAATTTCTAGCAAGTTCGTAGCGCAGTGGCGCTTCGTCGCAACCGAGGAAAAACTATGGTATTGTTGGTGCAAAACATTAAGCCTCACAGCACCAACTTAATCGTGGATATACTGCACCATATGGCGTTTATTTGAGCTCTACTCCACACAAAATATTACAGGGGCACTTAGGTATCCCTTTGTGGATTGAATGCGAAAGCATTGCCATTCCTAACGACACTTCCTTTTTTTTTCCTCT